AGCGAGTGTCAGAGGTGAGTCCGTGGGCTCCAGTGGGACAGCCGGGCAGAAGGGAGAGCTGGGAATGCCTGGAAATCCTTCTACCCTCTCCTCTGGGTGGAGCTGGGAGCTTTGGGAGCAGTGCAGCAGGAGGAATGGCTCACCTGTGCTGCCCTGTGAGTGCTGCGGTGTCCGCGGGCAGGACGGGTGTGGGTTTGGGGTGGCCCGCACCCACCGCACGTCAGGCTAGAGCTCAGTGAATCATGGAACTCGCTCCCTTCCCATGACAGCTTTGGGAGTGCCTGTTCCAGGTATCGTGTTTCCTTTTTGTTGATGAGATGGAGAGAAACAAACTGCAGTGAAGGTTTGTCAGCAGGGACGTGGCAGAGCCCAAGGTGAAACTTGAATTTCAGCCTTGAGTGGGGCAAGACCCCCTCGTCCAAGGGTTACAGGGGTTGAGGGGAGTGCTGAGCCCCAAAATCTTGCTTCTGTGGCATCTTGAGATGGAGGGGAGCGTGCTGGTCTGGAAAGCAGTGACTGAAGAAGCTCTGTGCTGGACTGGAGCTGCCCTGCGGATGGCTGGGGAGAATGAACACCCACCCTGCGTGTCTGACCCCTGGAATCTGACTGATCCCAGCTTCCATGCCTCACTGTGGCTTGTGCTGTGGTCTCAGACTGCAAGGGACTGTCAGAGAGCTTTGTGGTAGCTGCGTGTTTGTTCACTGAAATAGAATAAAGATAAAAATCAGCGCTTGGGAGCGAGCTGGCATGGCCCAGCTGCCTCCTGGAGGGGGTTAGTGCTGTCATTTTGCATTCCCTTGTGCTCACATGCTGGAAAATAAGCTGCAAAGCTCAGCAGCTTTTTAGTCCTCAGGGGCTGGGGTCTTCTGAGTACACAGGGACTGCTGGCCCAGGCCCGTGACCCTCGGCACACCTAGCCAGGGCTCAAAGCTTCTCTCAGAAGGGCCCGATGAAAAAAAAATGTGGAGCGGCGCTGGGTGTTGGGCAGGGTTGCTGCTGGCTTTGTGTGTCCCCTGTGCTTAATTTCCTGGGGAGAGTTCTGTTCCTGACGAGCTCCTTGGGGATGGTTTGTGGCAGAGGCTGAGGTGGGAGCTGGCCCCTCTGCCTCGCAGGCACAGACCCTGGCAGCTGCTGGGCTGTGGTTGCCCTTTGGCCTGCTGACATTTTTGGATCTAAAGGTTAATTATATCTGGGCTCGTGCAAAAAATGCCTTGGGGGGGTCCAGCCTTTGTACCTGCCCTGCAGGGATGTTGCTGGGGATGTGCTGTGTCAATGACGGGCCCCAGAGGTAGCTGGGCTGAGCGAGTGGTGGCCTTGGGGCCAGCCTGGCCTTTGGCTGGG